CTTATGATTTTCCATGTTACTGTTTGATCACGTTTTAGGGCGGGATATCTAGACAATATTTCCTTAATGTCTTTTACACTTCCATCACGTAATAAACTGGCAAGTTAATGTTAGCTTTTTTGGCGTTAAATATCTAGTAGCAATCAACCAATCAATCAAAGTTTATGTATATAGCCCAATATCACACATTTTACATTTTTCTATGGGGGCCCTCATCCTTAGACCCTCACATCTGATAAGGAAAAACACCCAAAGAAACCCCACAACCCGCAACTAATTTCTACGTAAGGACTAGTTTGTGTATGAAACCTGCTAATAATGTGTAATGTAAATCTCCACTTAGTTAACACTCGTCCTAACTAGGCTATGTCTGTAGGAAGAGCTCCATTCGTCTCATTAACCTGCTACATTTCAAGTCATCAGCCTTTTGTTGAAATCCGACTCTTGAGGATTTATTTGAGCTTTTAAGTTAATTATTAGTAATGTTAAATCACAGTGTGGAGACACTTGCTTTAATAAGGATTAAGGGTGGAATTAACTGTATCATAAACGAAGCCCTCTGGAAGATGCACACATCTCTGCTCTGAGCTAACTCTGATTGGTTCATATCCCCAGAGAGAGCAGTATGAGTGGCTGAGTAGTCTCCACACAGTGAGTCTGCAGCGTATCATTGGCTGCTCCGATTAACAGAGGCAGGTCCCTTTCTGTCAGGGTGATGATAACAGAGCCTCATAATAGGTTGAGGATTACTGTGTAATTAAACTCCAGGCAAGTTTCCTATTTAACCTTTATTGTTACTGCTAATTAAGAACGGATTAAAAAGAGAAATTGGTGTCTGTTGGGGCTTTGTACTTGATTCAATGAGGAAAATATTTATCTATTAGGGTTATCTCAGCTCCCTACAGCCATGCGACCTTTAAAATGAAATCACTACCATACATAAATGTCCCAATATGCAAGGTTAATGGACTCTATTTTATATGATGCTGAATTGCTACCGTTTCAAAATGTGTATTATTCCTTTGAAACACATTTTCCTAACTGCACTCTTTTTTAGACGGTTGTCACACAGATATAATCTCTGTCTTTAGCTGAGCTTGGGGACTACGACCCAGAAGAGCACCCGTCAGACTACATCAGAGACTTCAAGCTGTTTCCTAAACAGTCCCTGAAACTGGAGAGGAAGATTATGGAGATACACAAGAATGAGCTCAGGTAAAACAGATGTGTGTGTGTGTATGTTTTTGTGTGTGTCGCCTGGTGAGCTTGTTTGTTTTCTGGAGCTGCGTCTTTGTGATCAGTTTACTGTTTGATTGTGATGACAGGCGTGGATGCTCACTCCTGTGATCTGTGTTTTCAAAACAGGCTGTGAAGACAATTTTCCACTGCAAACAAAAAAGCGTTTTCTGTTGTTCTGGGTAGAGACCACATGTGATGATGTCTAGAGATTTGAGGTGCATTGTATTGCAGGAGGTTATTTCAGTTGTAAGTAAATAAAAAAACTGAAATTAATTTTCAGGGCAATGTGCATGTTTTATTCATTCCTGTCGTAGTTTGGACACAGTGCTTGCTACTACAAGATCTTCAGAATCTTCTTCAGAACATTGGGTTGAAATTCAATATAACAGGTTGGATGAAGTAATCAGGCCCTGCTTTTGTCTATAATATCTATAAACCCTGGCATGTTCTCTGCTTGTTTACAGAACTTTGTTGATGTGGAATAAAATACAACACGAGAAATAAACTGATTCAAAAGAGGAGATTAGTGCATGCAGAGGTTGATTCAGAAATGTAATGAAAAAAGTAAATGGAATTGAACTAATAAAGCAGGGAGAGGATACGTTCCTAAATATAAGATCAAATGATAAACAGAGGGAAATTATGGCAAATAACAAGAATGAGCTCAGGTAAAAAACAGATGTGTGTGTGTGTGTTGGTTTGTCTGTGTGTGTATGGTGCGATATACATAAAGCCCCTCCCTCGGGGTGTTTATTTGTATCATAGCTGCAGCTCATAAGTGATATTGTTAGGTTTATGACCGTCACACTTGCAGCGATTATAGAAACATCAAAGACAAATCCTTCATCTCCCACTGCGCACAGGCAGATGATGCCGAGTGCCCTCTGTCTGCCTGATGGCTCTGACAGAGAGGATTAACAGCATGTAGATTATTACTGAGCCGTAAAAAGACCCTTCAGGTGATTTACAAATGGGGCGGGGTACGTTTGCAATTTGTATTTTGAAGCAGTCATGTAATGGATTTAACATTTGACTTGATGTGCATAGACAGATGTATGTGTGTTCAAGTATAATGTTGATTTATTTGTCTGGCGTCAGAGGATCACTCACTTTCTTGATCTTGCAAGATGGAGTTTTCCTCTTAGACAAATAAGCAGGAAAAGCTTCCCACTGAACACTGTTTATCTGTCTGTTACTGCAAAAGTATAACAGATTATGACAAACCGGGCCAAATGTAATAACTTTTAAATATTTGCTAATGTTTGTAACCCAAACAATATCTTTCCAAGGCACATTCGCATGTTCCCTCACTTTCTGTGAAGGAAGACATTTCATTCAAATCTCAGTCAACCCATAATGCTATTGTACATAAAATAGTGAAAACATAGATCAACTCTACAGGGACATATGCTGACAACATGTGTCATGTGTTGAATTTTAAATAACCCTTTCCTCTTTTGTCCTCTCCTCTCTTTTAGGGGCCAGTGCACTTCGTTTGCAGAGCTGAACATGCTCCAAAGGGCTCACAGCCTCGAGACGTATGGAGTGGACCCTCACCCCTGCAAGGTAACCTTAGGGGAATGCTTTCAGTCTGACTGTGAGGTCTGATGCTGTTGTTAGGGAAAAGACTCCACTGATTAAAGTCATGCAAATCTCTTTCTTAATATTGCCACACTTTAATATCCATTCCTCAGTACTTTGCCCAATGATTGTTGCTTTTTTTAAATCTCACCACCTCATGTGTCCATCTTTATCACATGTTGTTCACTGCTCCTCTCTTTGTATGTGCATTTATACAATATACACAATTATAATCATTTTTATATAATGATTTAAATACTGTAATATGGACAAAGGCAGTTGCTGGTTTGCCTTTACATATTTAACTGAAACCTGTACTGTATACACATGATTCACTTTACCAACAGCCGGCTTTGAGAAAACCTGAGGTCACTAAGAGAGGAGTAATATTGGGTGAGACAGAGGTGAGGAGTGAGGGAAGGTCGAGGTCAGCAGATAATTCCCATTTGCATCTCCTGCAACATTTCAACAAAAAGCAATCTGTTCTGCACAGAAACCATTACTCTCAGGAATCATTGATCGGATAACATCATGGATTCAGAAAGTCAATGTCATCGACTCAATCGTAGTGTTAGTATTGTTTTCCATTTGACACTTTAATGTGCACCTTGCTTTACACTGTAATACTGTGACGGCTTGTACTTTTTTTATTATGTTCCTTGTCACCATTTTAAATTGAATCTGATAAAGAAATCCAATATGTGGGATAACTAGAAACACACTGGAGGACAGGCGTATCAGAGCATGCTGAGCAGATTAACAAGATATTTAAAATCTGTCTATTGGAAAGGATCCTCTTCATCTGCCCTGCTCCGGTTAGTGGGGCTGTTTTCATTTGGTTTGCTGGAAATGGCTGTAGCATCATACATTTGCAGATCTGTCAAGATCAATAATCAGAGAAATGATTAGGAACTGAGAGGGAGCGAGAGATGTACAGAGATAGAGAGGCACAGCAGCAGAGGGACGTCTGATGAGGTGGAGTGACAGGAACATATTGTGTTCTGCTTTTGCTCCAATGTTGTTATCAGTTTCATTTCGCCTCACCATATCAAACCTGTATTTTCTGTGCCTTGGTTTTGACACAAGTTTCTGCAAAATTAGGGGTTGAAGTTTGAAACAAACAAGAGATTTTGTGTAGGCAACATTACCATGGAGATTAATGATGGCTCACAAGCATCCCTGCTGTTAATCCACCTGTACTGTGTGTGTGTGTGTGTGTGTGTGTGTGTGTGTGTGTGTGTGTGTGTGTGTGTGTGTGTGTGTGTGTGTGTGTGTGTGTGTGTGTGTGTGTGTGTGTGTGTGTGTGTGTGTGTGTGTGTGTGTGTGTGTGTGTGTGTGTGTGTGTGTGTATTTATGTGTGTGTGCGTAATTCTGTGTGTGTGTGTGGGTGGGTTTACAGGATTTCACAGGCTCCACAGCTTTTCTCGGGTTCACTGCCACAGGTTTTGTGGTCTTCCAGGGAAACAAGAGGATCCATCTCCTAAAATGGTAGATGTTTGTCCAAAACCCTGTTTATGAAATGTGTATTCTTCATCAAATATAATCATAACAGACTCTTGGTCTTTGTTTAAATCTCAAATGGAGCTGAATATAATATTTAATTTAAGCCATTTAAAATGATGTTCTTTGACTTAAGTTATTATTGTTGTTCCATTGCAACATATGAAACAAATCTGTTTCAAAACTTCAGGATTTTAGGATTTAGCAAAACACAAACAGTTAATCTCTGACAAATGAAATGTAATCATATTGCTCCACTTTAAATCATATCCTGAATAGTAAGGCTATGTTTCTCAGTTGTTAAGTTAAAAGTATTTGTATGTTTTGACCTAATTTGAACCCTGATCATGTTATTAATGATACCATGTTTTGTTTTTGCAGGGCTGATGTTAGCAAGCTGAAGTTTGAAGGAAAAACCTTTTACGTCATTGGGATTCAGAAAGAGGTGAGTGTGTGTTCTTTCTTCTCTAAAGGGCAAAATCTATAATAAAATATGCTGTGTAGTTTCCTCCATCACGATGATGAATTGTGTAGTCCTGTAGTCATCTTCATGTAGTCAACCTTTAACATTTGTATGGATCAGTACTTCTTGAAAAACTAAATATGACTATAATACAGATGCACACTTACCATCTGTTTTGTCTTACTTGACCTTTCAAGTGTACATCCTTTATTCTCTTTCCTCCTTCCTTCTTTCTCTCCCTTTTCCTCATCTGTGTAGTGGTTACATCAGATAAATGAAACTGTATTGTTTGTCTATGTAATCCACCATCACACACACTGTATATGTGTGTGTCGCTGTTTCAGATCTCCTTAACAGGCAGGATGCACTGTGACAGGATGGTGGGTGTGTTACGACTAACCTCCTCTCTCTCATCATGTGTCCACTGTGACCCAAATATGAGACTCCTTCACTACACCCATGTCAAGATTTATGACAAATACAAATGATGTGATAGTCACACAGAGAGCAAATGCTAGGTAAAATATGTTCAGTAACTACCAGTACAGGTTTCTTGCATTTGGGACACATTTTTCATCTGTAAATCCGATGTTTGTCATCCAGAGAGCTGTGGTAGATTCGGAGCAGCAGTGCTGGTGCATTATGTCTCATACATGTGGATAGCATCTTTATTTGTTTTGCAAGAACTACAGCTTATTATGTCTCATATTGCTGTTTGACCCATACACTAATGATTCATCACTGTAGCTAAATCCAGGTTGCTCTTTAGTCTACCAATCAGCCAATCAACCCATCTCATATTCTTTTCATTACAGAAGCTTTAGCCTCTCATCTCTGCCTTACTTTGTTAGTCTGTCTTTCTGTCTGTTTGGCAACTCATGAATGGCTGAAGATGCAGTTATATCTTTGTGTTTCTGTCTTTTCTCTCTGTGTGTAAACATAGTCATCACTGGTGAGTAATTGCAAGTAATAATAGTAGCACTAAGCTATTTGATGCCTCTCACTACAATCCTGCCCTCACCTCACTAATGATTGGAAGAGCATTGTTCATTGTTTACTGTGTGCATTACCCGTTTGTGTCATTTTGTTTTATGTCACTTTGTGCAACGTTTTTATGTAATTTCATGATATGTATTTATTGTTTTTCCGCTCATGCGTGCAAACGGTTATTTTGTCGCCGTCAACAAAAATATTCTGTTTTATGGTTGAAATTACATAACCATTTTTAATCCCTGTCTAAAGCCACATTATCAGAATAAGAATAAAAGCTCCATTAACAGTAATTTATAGATTATGCAATATTGATATGCATAATCTATAAATCTGTCCATGTCATGTATTTAATGTCAGACATTGATGTTAAACAAATGTTGATTTCTTCATTTCTGTGTTCCTATATCTATTTGTGTGTGAGTATATATAATGCTATATATTTACATGTTTCACTATATTTTCTCAGAATTTTCATTTGTGTATTGATGTTTAGTGTGTGACGGATCACTGCATGGTTTCCCCTTCAACTCTGTTATTTATCCTGGAACACAATAACGTAACAGTCCCACTTTGAGCAAAATGCAACTTTAATGGCTTTGTTATTTTTAACCCTTGCTTGAAAAGCTCCTTATGCATTGTATAATTTTTCAACGCTCCAATTTCTTTATTGGTGTTCCAGCTTAGAAATGAAATGGTAATAGTAAATGTTAATGGTTTAACATTACACCAGGGAGTAACATTTGAAAAATAGCAAATTAGTGCATCAATTATTGTTTGAGATTTTGGTAATAGAAGATGCAGGTTATTCTGTCATTGCTGTTGGTACAAAAGCACTTTTTAGGAGCACTGAAATCATAAAATGTCATGTCATGCTGCAAAAGCACATCAGCCAAAGTAAGACCAAAGACTATTGGTTAATAATATTTGGACGTGCAGCTACTTTCACAAATCTACAGTATGACCACACACACGATACTCACATACACACAAACACACACACAAGTCATTGCGTCTGCAGCACATGTGTGTAAATCACCACTACATCCCTAATATAACTGATGTGTGAGAGTGGGGGGGGGTTGAGCAATACGGCTGACTAAGCGGCTTTAGGAAAGGGAAGAAACAAATCAGAGCATTCCCGTGTTATTGATCTCAGTGTTCGCTCTCACTCTCCCTTTCACACTTTGTGGAGCAGCATTGATCTGATATCTCATATTACCAGGCACACACAGGAATCAAAAATAGACGTTTACAGGAATATATCCCTCCTCCTAGTTCATAAAGACCCCTATTCTGCAAGCTACAAGCTGTGTCCCTGCTAAACACTGTGGCCAAATCACTGTATCTGTATTGCATCTTGCTAAGCTTTCAGCTTCAGGTCCGTGGGTCAGCGTTTTGCACAGCTCCCTCTCCTGGTTTTACCACTTCTCTTGCCCTTATTGACACGTCAATTAGTTATCTAATGTCTCATCCTAGCTGTGTGTCTCTCTCTTTCTCTCTCTCTCTCTCTCTCTCTCTCTCTCTCTCTCTCTCTCATTCTCTCTCTCTCTCTCTCTCTCTCCTCTCTCTCTCTCTCTCTCTCTCTCTCTCTCTGTCTTTGTCCTTCTCTGTGCAGAAGAAACTGGTGCTGACATTTCACACCTCGACCCCTGCTGCGTGTAAGCACCTATGGAAGTGTGGGGTGGAGAACCAAGCCTTTTACAAGTGCGTACAGATTACACACACACACACACACACACACACACACACATATTCAACACAGTGGATATAATTAGCCTTCCTTCATGTTGTACTTGATTTTTTTTTAGCACATTATCACTCTTTTATAACGATTTGCCTCGCTGTGGCTATGCTATGCTGCTGTCCTTCACTTGGGGAGCAGCTGATCGCTCCGAGGCCTACACTCTGAGTTCACAGAGACTATTGACGCTGTTGGCATGTCAGGAATGGAAACAGGCTCGGGGTGAAGGCAAATGTGAGAAAACAGAGACTTAACTTTGTCTGTTGTCATGGTTGTGACAAGGTTGTTTGCAAGCAAAATGAATGAGTTTGTTGCTTCGGTCAGGGTTCAGTAGGAATATCAGCAAAGTAATACATTGGACTTGATAGTCTTACAACATCACATGAAGATTTTAGACTAGTGATCACACTCACACATACTTAGTAGCCTAAAGATTATCCCAACAGATTCATAAGATGTAAACTATCCCTACTCCTCTGACAACCTTGAGAGATCAGACCATGTAACAGATCCCTGATATGTTTTTCGTCAAATGCTGCCTGTTCCCAAGGTCACAAATGAACTCTCAGTCTTTAAGCGTACAAGTAGATCTGACAAGATAAGGTTGATTAATTGATTAGTTCATCGACAGTAAATAAATCACCAACTATTTTGATCAATGTCCCATTTAACTAAATTATCAATCATGAACATGAACATTACCTGTAAGAATGTTTTCCTTTTCCTGTCTCCTTTCACAGAAACCTGAATTTTGTTGGGTTTTAAAACAGAAAATAAAAAGATTAATTGATAATGAAATCATCTTTAGTCTCAACCAGCAAGGAAAGAGAAATCTCTAAAGTGTAACATTTTAAACATCAGAAATCCCTTTGACAGCAGGCCGAGTCGATCTGCTGTGGAGGATTGTGTGATAAAAACAAAACATCTAAAACAGTGGATAGTGTTTGTTCCCTAAAAATATGTATTATAAAACAGAGTAACTGATGTGAGACCAGAGGAATATTGAGATCATAGAGAGAGGAAACAAGAAAGTAAGGGGCAAGATGAGGAGGACTGCTGGCTGTAGACAGCTGGCCAGATGTAATGTGGAGAAGTAAGGTCAGAGGAAACAACGTTTGCAAAGATTTGACGCGTAATTGGAGGCTGATTTGTGACCCTGGGCCCCCATTTAACCATTCCTCTGTATTGACTTATATTTGTAGTCCTCATTCCCACATAAACCTTTAGTTATTTCTCTTTTACATATATTTCCCTAAGACTTTTCTTTGCTGTAGGTTTGTATGCCACAACGGTGACCCATTTACAAAAGCTTACAGAAGGAAAACATAATTATAAAGTCATTAAAGTGTTCTCATAACAGCTCTTGCCTGTAAAACCCTGGATATTGACTTCTTAATGACAGCAGCTCATGTGTCTCTGAGAAGCGGACAGAGGGGGGGGGGGGGGGGGGGGGTTGGGGCATGTCATCTCGGATGTCGGACAAGCAGCATCAGAGCCGCTTAATTAAATCAGAGTGAATTGAGTTTGTAAATGGCAGCCAAGCATAGCTTTGCGAACATACGGCCTCTCTCTCTCTCCCACACACACACACACACACACACACACACACACACACACACACACACACACACACACACACACACACACACACAATCTCTGCTGTATGATAAATTATCCTGTAACTGAACATGAAGGCTGACTTTTTGAAATGGTACACCTTGAAACACTCTCCTCTTCTGCTTACTGCAAGGCTGTTCTGAGCCAAGGGTTAATGTTCTAGTCACAAACAAAATCCCATACATTTCTTTGACAGGGATCAGTTGTTCCTGAGTCTGTGCCTTAATTGCCATAATGAAGTGATTTGTTTGCATCTCTTTATTTCGTCCTCCCTCTCTCTGACAGGTGTGCAAAGTCGAGTCAGATAAAGACAGTTTCCAGCAGTAACATATTCTTCAAAGGCAGCAGGTTCAGATACAGGTGAGATCCCATTCAAGTTTTCATGAGAGAAAATAAAATTACAACATTTTGACAACAAAATATGTGTTTTAAAGGGAAATAAGATAGATCCATACATTATGTGCAAAGAGAGTTGGAAACAAGAGTGAAATAAAAAAGGGGAACCAGAGAGAGTAGGTTATGAAGGAATATAGGGGGAGAAGAGTCCGATTCAACCCCCTAATAGATTAGTCCTAAACAAATCTAAGTTACCTGTATTGTCAACTGTTCAACTACTCCCTCACTCTACAAATAAACTTTCACTGTAGATAAAATAGTTGGACATTTGCAATGAGAATTGTGTGATTTAGTACATTGACTTAAGTCCATTGCTATGGCTCCAACCTGAGAGATGTGTGTGTGATTTACCTTGAGTCGCTCCACATGCGGCCTCTCCTCTTTGCACATCAGCACTTTCATCCAGCTTGTTGTTAGCCTCTGTGATTTACTGACCCTAATATCACAGGAAAGCCTCTCCATAAGTCTGTTATTGAAGCCATGTTAGCTCCAATTCTCCTCTCAGACAAAGCTCTTTACCAGGCTTACACTTCAGTCTGCCCCATTTCATCAGCTGGCTAAAGCAGTTTGTCTAAAGGGCTCAATGATGAGTAATAGCATATGTTGGAGGTTGGTCTGAAATATGGCAATTGGTCATTTGTGCAAATGCTAAGAGGAAAGAGATTTGTGGTCCACAAAAAGTGGTGGTTTCCATAAAGCAGAGCTGATTTGAATTTTTGTTGATTATATAGCTTTTTTACTAGCATAGCTCCACATTTGCCATCACACAGGATTGATGTGACTCTCCACTTGTACTGTCAAGGAGATGTCTACCACTCCAGATGTTAAATCTAACCCTCTAATTTATCACCTAACCATCAATCTCAGCAACAATAGACTAAAGGGTGGGATGGTGGAGCCTGCTGGCTTCAACCAGAGCGGTCAGAGTCGCCCAGTCCTCAGACTAATGGAGCTCCTGACCCGGCCAGCAGGAAGCTCCCACTCAGCAGCTCAGAAACAGCTCTCATTATGAGCAACTACTGCCAAATACAGATGAAACATGACACTTCTGATGTAGTCAAATCAGTCAGACTCTCTTATTTCCAACTTTTAGTTTAGATTACTGAAATAAAATGTTAATTAAGTAGAAGTCCAGAAGTAGTATCAGCCAAATCTACTCCAAGTAAGTAAAAGTACTCAGTATGCAATTTCTGTGTTCACAAGTATTATATAATTGTATTATTCCATAATTGTGTATATTATTTTAATGTTGAGCCAAATGTAGTTACTTTTTAAATACAGGGTAGATTAGTAGTACCCAATGGTATACAACGTAGATAATAAAAGCACACATCAAATAATGAAAGGGAGTAAAACATTAATAATTGGCCTCCAAAATGCAGAGTTTAAAGGGGACCTATCATGCAAAATGCACTTTTTGATATCTTTTATACATAAATATGTGTCCCCGGTGTGTCAAAATAAAACCCTTTCTCTTTTCCTCCGTACCCAAATCTTTTAAAAACGGGGGTACAACGAGCGGATACAGATTTGCTGCCGATATGACGTAATATCGGCGGCGGACCCACAGAAAGTTGCTATCAGAAACAATGCCTGACGTGTTTTGGACATAATCTCGTCTTTGTTTACATTAGCAAGCCTCGCTAACACTCAGAGCTAACCTGTACTGTAGAGCACATGTGTTTAAATAGCAGGAAATAAAAAAAGGAACTCACCTTGTGGTAAACCCGCAAGAGAAAAAGCATTTGAGCTCCATACTGTTTCAGAAATAATCCTTGATGTGGTTTAGAACATGATGGCGTTTTATCACAGCAGAATTGTACTTTATCTCCGGTAGAATTCTGATCAGGCATTAGCTCCGCCTCCTCTTTTTTTTTTTTTTTCAAGCTAAGGACCCAAGATCCGCGTTTCTCTAACAGGGCTGGAATAGAGGGATATGAGGGATTTCTAAAATGCATGATCTGTTTGTATTTTGAGCAAAACACATCATAGACATGTTTTTATATATTTGTATATATCTGAGACCCATAATATATGCCTTAAAATAGCATGATAGGTGCACTTTAAGTGAATGCATGAAATGGAAGTATTACAAAAAAGTATTTACTTGAGTACATCTAGTTTGTTATATTCCACCACTGGTGGAACACAATATGAGACCGAACGAAACCTTATTAAATCTATGAAGTCTTAGCTGTGTGTTTATCAATTTAAAACAAGAAGTTATTAACCTTTCTATAGATTTGTTTCTGTGCACAGTAATGCCCCTTCAGCATAACCATGGCCTTAGTATATGCTTTAGAAAAAAAAAGGACCATAGTTTTAATTTAATCTTATTTTATTTTGTGAAGCTCTTTGTGATGGTATACAGAATTTGCAACTCTTGTCTTTTCTCGCCATGAATGTGTGTTAGTGGACGAGTAGCCAAGGAGGTGATAGAAGCCAGCTCTAAGATAAAGAGAGAGCAACCAGAAGTACGCAGGTAAGCACAAGTCACATTTCACCTACACTCTCTTACAGTTAGTTACCGTTATTAAAGTACATGTCTGCTTACTTATAGTAATACTTTACTACTGAGGGATATTACAAGTACAAACAGTCTAATAATAATCAATGTATGGGGAACAACATGTGCAAAAAAGCCTGTGAATTGTGGAGTTATGCTTTGATTACCCAAGACAATACACATCTTACCTATCACAGAGCAGTCAGTGTATTTTGTTGTGATTTCAGAGCCCAGTTTGGTCAGAGTCGAAGTTATAACTCTTTGAGCCATAAAAACCTCATTATGAACATGGAGCCGCTTGTACCTGCACTGCCCTCCACCAACGAATACGAAGAGACGGCCGCAGACAACGGTAGGATGTTACCGACTACACACACACACACACACACACACACACACACACACACACACACACACACACACACACACACACACACACAACACACACACACACACACACACACACACACACACACACACACACACACACACACACACACACACACACACACACACACACACACCCATGCCCTCCTGCCACAGACCTCTGGAAAGTCACATGGGGTCTCCCTTGTGTATGATGAGGCACATGCACATCCCTCGGACAGAAAGCGTTAATTGAGCAGCAGATGCTCCCTGTCTTGTCTCCCTGGACACCAATAGCAGCATGCTAAAAATACCCTTCCCATGATCCTCCCTTAGTACACCACCATGCCTCTGTGTGTCTGTGTCTGACTTTGTGTGTGTTTTACAGAGGAAGGTACACAGAAAGAGAGCAAGCTTGTCTTATCATTAATGAAAACCCAATTAGAAATGAGTTGGTCCCAAAGGAGTCTGTCTCTGTTCACATCCTCGTATTCTCCTGTTTGCACAATATGCAACCTTTTTTCTCCTTTGCGTTTTGGCCTATTTATAGCATTTCTTTTAAAGCTTTTGAGAATGTCGACAGCTCATTTCACTAGTTCCTTATAAATTCCCTAAAAGTCATTTGGTAAAATATTTGAGTGAAAACAGGATCTTTTTATAAAAGAAGCTTAATTCTAACCCAAGTTAATAACCATGAATTGCTTGTTTATTATTTTACGTTTTTTATTTTGTGTTGAATTGTTTACTTTCCTGTAGACAAATTACACACTTTCATGTTTTAGCAGATTACTTAAAAACTTAACCTTAAAGTTAAGATTGAAATTGATTACAATAAATGAATTAGTAGTGTACCGAAACAGTGTCTATTAACCATATCATTAGTGCTATATTACATAGTTCTTTCTAGGAAATGTTTTTGCAGCTAATTAGAGTATTATGTAGGCGTATGTAGCCATTGGGGTATTTCGTATGAGATATTTCAGTAAAGCTCTCCATCAGCCCAGCTGGCTTGTCGACACGGGGCTCACAGCTGAACCTGGATCAGTTTTTCCCCATGAGAGGGTAAAGAGTCGGCTCTGATGAGGCAAAACCCAATCAAGCAGCACAGTAGTTGGTAGTTAAGGGTTTTTCCTCAGGATACCACCTTCCCCTAGTAGATTTATGTAGTCGATAAAAAGTACTCGCAACGCTGTGGCTTTAAATGTTTCCCCTGTGACATTTTTCTTTAGCAGGTTATCGTTTTTCTCTGTCGCTTGTTCTCTAAGTTATTAATCCTGACACTCTCTATACTGCAACCTATTATCTGATTGAAGCATACATCTTGTTGTAGGAGGAGAAGAAAGCAAGTAGGGAAGAGCACAGGGATTGATTACACAAGACAACACTAGAGCAGAGATGTTAAGAGAGCATTTCAAAAAGATGGAGAGAATACGGAGAGAATACGGGAGTGGAGAAAATAGATTGTAGGGCTTATAGCATGAACTGATGGTGATGGATGTACCGGGGTCTGTGATTGAACATAGTAGGAGGACGTAAGGGTTGATGTGAGACAATTGGAAGGTTTGATTACGGAAAAATGGGATATAAGAGAGGGGGAAAGAGGCAAGGAAAAAGTGATGTAAAGATAGTGTCCGTCTTCTATTGAGTATGGCAAGGGCATCGTTTAGTTTTGGAATTAAGAAAACCAGGTGTTAACAATAAATCAGTTAAAAGTTATTATTCCTTCTGTAAAAAATACTCCACCATCATATATTACTCCCACATCAAAAAATCGTATTTACTAATATGATTTGTGTCCTTTTCAACTATTATAGTAAAAAAGTAAAAAACAAACAATCTTGCCGTCAATCGTTGTCAGTGTTCTATTATAAGATGTTTTGTTGCTTCAAAGTTTATGTTTTATATTCTCCAGATGTTTAAGTGCTAATTTTAACATTAATCTCCAGCAGTCCATCATATCCTATAAGATCATCATGGGTTTGAATGGTTGCTGTTCTGTGAGAACCACGTAAAAAGTGGATTTGTTTTTAGTACATAATTTATGCGCTTAGATTTGTCTCACAATTAAATACAAATAAGAGCAATACACAGGAAGTGTATATACACAGTATACACAATGAATATTACAACATTTAATGTAGCCTTACTGTGAAGGCTGACCTAAATACGGTGCTTTTCTACAGATAACCTTACCACTGCACTGGTAAGGTAAAACTAGGCCGATTAATAAGATGTGAAGTGCTTTGTAACTTTGACCCGCTTGAATGAATACACAACAAATATGAAGAAAGAGTTATCTCTGGGGCTTCTTCGCTGCCAGCTGTAGCCCCCTGGGACCCGAAAGTGGCGTAGCCTAAGTACTTCAACATCAATGCATACGAATGTATGTGCTCGATATAGGCTGTATTGAACAAATAAACTAACACAAACTAACTGTATCACTATAACATGATGGTGATAAAGAGTGCACCTAACGTATTGCTGTTCATTATAGTAATACAAAAACGGCACATTAAACAAACCATCATGCTCTTACTTTGAAACCTTGAAATCCGGAAATGTCATCATCAGCAGGCCATCACGTGGTTTCCGAAAATGACCGAGTGACACGTGCAGATTTCGGTCGAGACCGGCGGAAAGTTTGTCTCAAAACTCTGTGTGTGTAAAAAGACGATCCACAAGCAGAGATTTGAGATCCACAAGCGCATCTTTGGTTGACAAATACAAAATGGATTCACAAATGCCTGATCGAAAGTTGTCAATGTTAAAGAGATATTCACAAATTCCTTTTGTTTATTTGTAAATTAATTATAGTATTCACAGATCTTTTTTTTATTTGTGAAAATATTTTTGCGTATTTGCAGATCCGTTTTACATTTGCACATTTATTTGTGAGTTTGCAAATCTTTTAAATGCATTTGTGGATCATGTTTTACATTTACAAATCACATATTTACACACAAATTATTTTTATGTTCACAAAAATATTTATGAGACAGATCTAAGCCCATAATAATTATACTACCAGAGAAAAACTGTGGTGTCACCCTTACAAACTGTCGACAGTCGTGATTACTCTGCTCAATATTTATGTAACACCCGCATTAGAGAAATGCCATCTTTTTCAGGGTGAGGAAATCTTGTTGAACATGAATGTTATGTGAACGTGTTTCTAAGCACAAGCAGCAGGCAGGGGGAGGTTTGTCACAGAGCCCTCACTAAAATGTACCGTTATCTTTATAGGAGGGTATCAAAGTTTACCCCGACACATGCAGAGGAGGTGGCAGTACTGAAGATTCTCCTCATAAACAAAGGCAAAAAAGTGCCTCTCTGTTGCTTGTCAGTGAGTGCACGGTACTGTAGACACGTTTCAACAACCCAATCCAGTTTCTATCATCTGGATGTTGGCACTCAAACACAGTTTACAGACATTATTGTGCGTAAATCCAATCAAAACTTTAAACTGTGTGTTGCAAAAAGCCTTGCCACACTACTGAGTTATTGCTGCTGTGTTGTGTCTTAATCCATCCATCCCCTGCACACAGGACTCCACATTTAGTGTTCCCCTCCACTGAAAAAACTGAACCGTTGACTTTAATTAAATGTATTATGTCAACACATTTCACACCACTGTATTAGGTTAGTTGAAAGCAATAATATTAAGTTGAAAATATTTTTTTATTTAATTAATATTATTGCTTTCAAGTAGCCTAATATAGTGAAAACTGTGAAAACTGTTGACAAAATACACTTAATTAAAGTCAATGTTTCAGTTTTTTCAGTGTCCTCTCCTGTAAACTCCTTCACTCCATCTTTAACACCCCACCCTTTTTTCTCCCTTCCTCCTTATCGACCCCAGCCCGGCCCTTTAGGCCTTCACACATGTAGAGAACCATCATGCTCCTGTGCCATCACTCTCTTCAAACTCAATCGCACCTCATCTGACAGGATTTACTGCCGTCGTCTCACTTTCTCCAGCACTCCTCTTCTCTCTGTCTTTCTCTCATCTTCTCTTCTCCCATTTAGAGGAAAATCAATTCTTCTTGGCTGATGGTCATAGAGCTGCAGCAGTAAGCATCCCGGCAGTGGGTTGGGTTGGGAGGGGTAGGAGGCAGTCATCAAATCAAGAGCCTCATGCAGGACACAGGCGGAGTAATGAGACACACAAGATTCAATTTGACAATGCTTTGTTTCCTGCTGCAGTTCCTGCTACTGTTTTATGCCAGGAAAAACGTTTTCCTGGGATCTTACATTTCAAATGTTCTGTTTGAGCCTCATCAGATTTTGATTGACTGACTTGATTTTTTCCCCAACAGTCAAAGCCCTCGAGTGACGCAGAATATCCAAAGCTAGATGTCTATTCTTTGGTTGCTTTGGTTACTGTTGAACACCTATTAATGCACTGAATCAAGAAGTAATGCTTTCATATATGGGTTCCCTCTACCAGTCTGCTACCGGGACGCCTAAACAGGCCATTTCCTCGTCAATTACTCACCCCTTATTGCCAATTTTTTATTTTTTGCGCTGTTGTTTTTTTCCCATGCCTTTGTGGTGAACGAAGAATTGAAGTATGAAGTATCTCTTGTATTATCTAGGTCTCATTTTTCCAGTAGTCGCTCACTACTTCCCAAATGAGATTTATCTTTGACTGCACAAGTTGTGTGACTGTTTGTAAACAGATGTTTTGTGTAGTGTTGCCGTTGTTAAGCAGGCACCATTTCACTGTGGAGGCATGCAAAGTTTTCTTTCAAGTATTCAATATAACCCAGGGTAAGTGATTGAAATACAACTGATCATTTTGGAGTGCAGTATCCCTTTGACAAAGAGAGCTACTCAGTGCTCTTAAAATATGACATATTAACTGTCAAAGAGCACACACTTTTTCTCTTATCCAACATGTCCATGGTGTTGAGACCAGAGGCCTGTACTACGAAGCTGGATTTTCGCTTAGTTGCTAACTTCAGGGAAATCTCGGGCTTTCCGGTC